GCCCAGGCCAGCCAGCGCCGAAGGCGGCAGGGCGGCACCCGCTTGCAGCGAGCGAGGCGCTGCCACCGTTTCTTTCCCCCCCGCTTGGAGCTCCTTGCACGGAGCAGGTTACAAAGGGCTCTTTCTCCGTCTTGCCCTCGCACGGATATAGCGGGTCACAGCGAGAGGGCTGGGGAGCGGCGGACCCTTTCCGCAATGCTCTTCTCGCAGAGGTAAAGCTCTCAAAGAGCCTCTTTTCCTTCGGATAAGCCTTTTTTTTTTTTTTTTTTTTTAACTGCGCGGATTTAAGGCATCAGGCTGCCGAAAAACACGCGGGTCCGTGCCGGTGCGAGAGGGTTTCACCACCGTTTTCCCCAGGGCGCTTGCAGCAAGCTCGAGCCTGCTCCAGCTGGCAGCCCAGGGCAGAGAGGCGACGGAGAGGAACCCCGGGCAAGAAAAGCGCACGAGTATTCACCCTCCCCCCGAAAAACATTTCTATTTACATGCAAACACTGCAGCGTACGAGCCTCTACTTTTCCCACGGATAAAAGCGGAAAGGATCTTCTCTGTACAGCTTTTCTGCTGCCTCCTTGGGTGCCAAGCAGCACAGCGCCACTACGCTCGGGAAGTGCCATCGCAAACTTGTGCTTTAGCCTTTTGGAAGGGTAAAGTTCATCTGCTGGAGACGAGACGGACAAGGTGACACTGCAAGCGGCTGCGGCAGGACGGAGCGGCTCGAGAGCACAGCTCCTGTGTGACACCAGTGTTATTTATACAGTCGTTGCATTAAAATAAAAATAAAAGACAGCTGAACTCAGTTTAGGGAAACAGGCCCATCCGAACCCAGACGCAGGGGAAAGTGGCACGGACAGATTTTGATGCAATAGTGGAGGAACAGAGCCAAGAACAACAACAAAAAACTCCAAACTATTAATTACGCCATGAATACTATTGCTAAATTGAGTTCAGCACAAAATAGGGCAGAGACTCTGGTGGGGAAAAAAAAAAAAAAAAAAAAAAAGGAAAACCCCCCCAAAAACCAGTTCGCTCATCAAGCTACTCTTGCTGGGCACAGGAATAATTTCTCTGGAGACAATCTCTGGCAGCGCTTCACGTATGAGAGGGGACGGGGACTTTGCCGTGGAAGGAATCCACCAGTTCCAGCACCGGAAAAAGGGATAAAAAAAAGTTTTCAAAAGTTGTGGTTTTGGCTTTAACATCTCTTCTTCCCAGCTACGATGGGAGGAGAGGGCTCGGTCATGCTCGACTTTCTGGGGCTCTGTCTGGCATCTCCACGGCTCTTCCCACCAAGCGGAGACGTGAACGGGCTTCACACCCGAAAAAACTGGACCGAGCACCTGCGAACCATGCTGCCATCGTGACGGCACAGGCAGGGAGGCAAAAAAACCCTCGAAGCACGCAGCACCCTCTCCGGAGCCGGAGGCCGAGCAGACACACAAACTCTATACTTCAAAGACGTGCGCTCCATGTTACACGGCCGCAGCATTTTTCATCTGGAGGTGGTGATTTTGCCAAAGCTTTTGCGATCCGCGCGAGGAAAGACTCGAGACCCGGTGCAAATCCGTCCCAAGGCACCGTTTCCAAACGAGAGTAGACTTCAAAGCAAGCGAAACAGCTGGTTTCGGGGAGCGATCCAACCCTCCGAGCTTTCGCTAGTCCATCTTCAAAAAACCTGCAGCGAAGAAAACGGCTCCCCAAATAAACGCAAATAGCAGCAGAGTCTTAAGCCATCAGCTCGCTTCTTCCAGAAAGTTGATTTGGAGGCAGTGGCCTGCCAATGGGGTGCAAAAGCAAAGCCAGCGCCAGAGCGGAGAGCCTGGCTGATACAGCACAGGACCGGGACAGGGCTGCTCTGCTGCCCTTCCTACACCTACCAGAAAGAGGGAATCCAAGAAATAGGAGAAGCGTTTATACACCTCAAAGGCTTCGGAGGCCGATTATTTACTGCCAAACTCTGCTTCTGCAGGCGTGGGGTCTGTTGATAGCAGCGGCGGTCTCATGTGCGTACGTTTTATCAGGAAAATAAGAGATTCCCATGTCCAGAGAGCTCTGGATTACACAAGGAAGCCGCGTGCTGCAAACGAGTGATAAATGTATAGTGAGCTTGTTTGCTGCTCCCTCCCTCCCTCCCTCTCCTCCCCCCAGAGGGGGGCCACTAGGAAAATAATGAGATATATACTGCATCCTCAAATTGCATGTCCGCTCCCATGTTTTTCTACCAGCTGCTTAGCTCAACTTCTCCCGTAAGGATAAATACATGGCCTGGAGAGCAGAGAAACTCCTCCGATAGCTGCCTCGGAGAATACGCTGCTGCCAGACACCTATCCCTCGCGCTCGCCGGGGACTACGCTGGAGAGCAACAGGCTGCTGCCGGATGCACGGCTGATTTTCACGGCGCCACGCTCAGGTTCAAAGACCCGGAGGCGATGGTACGGCAGAAGAGTCCCTCCCAAACTCGCAGGGAAGGGATGGGGAAAGCAGAAGGGAGAAGCGCAAGACAAGATTTTTAAGGACCTGCCGACGTATAGTCGCGCACCTTCACACCCGAATTTCTCTGCTTTAAAAAACCCTGGCACAAGACGCAACAGAGGGCTCCAGCACATCTCCTGCGAACGCATGATCACTTCCATCGATTTTATTGAGATGACTTCTGCTTAAAGTTTGGACATGCCTGAGAACGCGGATGAATCAAAGTCCCACTTGCTTTGAAATAAATTACTTGTATTTCAAAACCAATAATGTAGATAATTTGACATTTATTCTCGACAGCTTTTAAGAATAGATGCCCTTTTTATTTTTTAAGATAATAAATAATACCTGGCTTATCTATGTTATTAGCCATGTTTACCCTGCCTGCTTTTAATCACTCTGGTCTGAATACCGATTTCCTTATCTGATTTCCAAGACAAGCTCTGAGCTGCTGGCTGCGCTCCCCCAGCACAACATAAATACTCCGCGTTGCCGCAAGAGCGGGCAAACGGCTAGGCGGTGGGAACGGCATCACGTGTGCTTTAACTGTGTTGAGCAGTAACTTTACGAACCGTCGAGCTGTCACCGTGTGGTTCAGAAGCGGTTTGTTTTTATCAAAGCCAAGAGCAGGGTTGCAAACTTAAGCTTAGAACGGATTCAAAGGCGAGAAAGTCAAACTGGACTAAGTAAACCCTGGCACGCTGGCGCGTGGCAATTTTCCGATTTCCAAAGCCCTAATTTCAAAAGCTGCTTTTACTGCCTCCTACTAAAAGCCCTGCTGGTGCACAAAGCAGGAAGAATGCTTATTTAATTCTTTGCTTCGGATTGCTCGACGTATTAAAATGGCAGAGCGCTCAGGTTTCTTTACAGGTTTAAAAAACGGGAACTAAGTCAGAGTCAAAAAAAAAACACGGGGTGGGGAAAAGGCAATTTTCAGCAGATCTTGGGGTCGGAAGAAGTTTTGTGCTTTCACTGAAGCCCTAAGATTGGCTTCTCACCTGCGTGCGTTACAAAATGCCTAAGTTTAGAGACTGGTGTGTTTTAGAGCTGCAAAAAAACCAAAAGCCCTTGAAAAGTTTAACCTACCCGAAGCTAATCTTGCCACGTATCTACACAACAAAAACCTGGAAGAGCAAATTCAGTCTTCACACATCACATGCTCCTCTGAGCCTCGACTGAGGAAAATCCAAGTTTGTTTTCTACGCAACTCCCTAACGGCACTCCTCAAAGGTGAATTTATACCAGAACAGTCCCAAGACACTGTTCAAAAAGACCATAATACTGTTTATGCTGGAAAAAAATATTTATTTCTTCTCATTCTCGAGTTGCTGAACTGAATTTGCTCCACATTTCTCTAAGAAAAGGTCACCTTCAGGTACAGGCTAAACCTGGAAAATCCACCTGAAAGGTGAAAGCAAAGAGCCCAATTAAGCTAGACCATTACAACGGAAGCTTCTCATTTTTAAGGTTTTGCTTTTCTTTGGTTATTTTGCTCATTTAACTACAGTAAAAAGCCCCTCTGCTACCCCTCTGCTACATTCCTAACCAGGGACACTATGTAAATATATACAGTGCTGATGAATTACTACCCTACGCGAGCTCGTTTTCCAGCATAGGAAATACCGCAGTTTCTTAGGACAACCCTATGAATTACTGGGAGGGAAGGGGAGGATGGAAAAGACCACTGCCTGTATATGTTTCCACCCTGAAGAGCCTGCAAGCAAATCTGAGACAATTCCCTGCATTGCAGACAGACCTACATTTACCCTAAGGGTTTTAAAACCCTAAAGATGGGAAGAAAGCAGTCGATCTGAATAATAAATACTGTACAATTCCTTTCATTTTTCGAAATACTCTCTGTTATTGTTGGCGAGGCAACGGAGATTCACATGCTCAAGATATTCTAAATGTTCCGGTATTTGTCAGCTTAAACCCATCCAAAAAAGTTACAAGGCAGCTCTGGAAAGTTACAAAAATAATAATAATAAAAAAACACAAGCTTTGGCACGCCTTCCCACCCAGGAAAGGAAACGCATGAACTTTTCATGCGAGGATTCCTTGCGCCAAGCCAAGCCAACGATACGTACTGCTAGCGGTGCGGCGCGTCCCGCTTCTCCCTCTTTCTTCCCCTTCTGCCGTGTTTTCCTATTTGTTAAATACCTGCCCAGTGTGCCCTGCTACACATGCAAACACCTGGGTATCCGGGTTACACTTCTGCGATTACTTGGGTAAGAAAGATACTTAAAAACATAACGAGTGCTTTAAAAAAAAAAAGTTCTTCTTTTTTTTTTTTCCCTTATGTCCCAAAGGGCAACAACCTTTCAGGCAGATGGAAAAAAAAACAACACAAATAGATCCAAGAGTCTGGACTCGGCTCATGATACCCACAGCCTGCCCACACGCATCCCTAATGATTCTGACGTGCGTTTTACCCGCATTTTAAGTCCTCGCATTCATGTAGTATGTCTCGTGTCATTTGCTGTACAACGAAGCCAAGAAAAGACCGAGTTGTGAAGCTTTTCAGATGTTCTGAGGTAACTGGAATAATGCATAAAGCAGATTCAACTGTATGAACAGTCTTGCACAATGTATTTATAATTATAATCAGAAGTTTCAAATATCCTCCCTCCTGCACAACATCCCTAGGGAAATACATTCCAGGGTAAAACATTCATAAATTACTTACTGCGTGTCTTCCGAAGATTCCTGTTTTATCTTTAATGTTCTTTTTGTGGTAGGCATTTCATCTGAAAGGTAAAATTCCAACACGTAATTACATTTTAAATAATGTTCCCGGGGCTGGGGTTTTTTTGGTTTTTTTTGGTTTTTTTTTTTAAAGGCTGAAATTAAAATCCACATAGCTTCCAAAGCCAGACTGTCCCCTCGACTTCTGTCGCATGCACAAGATAGCTCCTATTCCTAAATCCTTCATTACTGCAATTTCTTTCTCTCTTTTTATTTTTTTTGGACATGACGCGGTCAGTTAAGAGATCCATCTTTACAAGTGCAAAACCTTTCAAGGACAAGGGTACCATTCCTTTTTATCACAAGTCAATTTAATTGCTAACTACACTATGAAGAAAAAAAGAGGGGGAGGGAGACTATTTTGCTTTCAATAGCGCATTTGAAGAGCAAACACCAGAACGAATGCATCTGTATCCCATTTAGATTTTGTGTGCAAGTGCTTCTCTCATAACTTCTCCGAACGTTAAGAACATCGTCAGCCCAAGCGCGCATAAACGTCTCCGCAACGCTATTGAAGGAAAACGGTGACAAACCACGAGATCGCAGTTTGAGTCACCAGAACGGCGAGACAGAATTAGTTGTCATTTACATACGATTTGAAATGTCGTCTTCCCCCCCCTGCCCATTTCTCTCCCACGTATATCTGACTTTCAAGTTCCCTAGAGAAGACGGAAGGAACGGGAATGCAGTGAATTCGCAAGCCTGCTGTCTCAACACAAAACTGCAATTTCAGCCTCGCTTTCAAAGCATCTGAATTCACCAGTGCCCTCCACATAGATATGCGGCTGCCTCTCCCAGCCCTATTTTCGTCTACAAATTGCAAGGAGGAAAGAGGGGAAAAAACAAAAACAAAACAAAAAAAAGAAAAATCAGGCCGAGAGCCTTTACCCAATTCACCTCCTAACCCGCTGCCTCGCTCGGGTCTCCGTGGAACATTTAATTGAATTTGATTAACTTAGTTCCCTCTGTACAAATAAACCCGTTTCCTCCATGTGTGGGAACACACAGCCATAAAATCAGCAGCCCAAGAGATGTAACACAGCCGCTTACAAGCATATTTACATGTTGAAAACAGACATGCTAGCGAGGGTACGGGGGAAGGAGGAGAAGCATTTTTAAAATCGGCAGAATTAAAAGCAACGGCCTAGAAGTTTTGTCCTTAACTTAAGCAAGCAGCCGCTGAACAGTGACCCACGGGGCTCAGCTGCGCCCGAGGGCCTCCGAAGCAGGGTTTTAGGATGAAAAAGGCTAACGGCCTGGACGCCATAAGTAAAATTGAGTAGCGGGGTGGAAGGGAAGGAGAACAAGGGCCTGCGTCTCCTCCTCCACAACTTCTGGCCTCATGCCCTTTCTTCTCTCCAGTTTGGCCCTTTAAAAAACAAGTCCCGATGCCAACACCTTCCAGCAGCCTTCGGGAGCCACGGATTGCTTCTGGCAGCGAACTGGGGAATTTCTCCCCTTCCTCCCCGTTTGTATCAGTTCAGCATCCAAGCGCGTTCGGTCCGAACTGTGAACGGGAGGAAAGCTGGTGCTGCGGGAGCTGGGAGCACATCAAGAGGGCAGAGGTTCCTTACCCAATTCCTGTTCACCGGTTTGGTAGCAGTGCAGGTCCTGGCTGTGGTTTCCCCAGTCCTCCTGCGAATACTCCTCCATGGTGCTGCCGTCCGACTCCAGCTCTTAGCTGCTGCTGTTGATGAGGACGGGCTGGCAGGGCTGCGAATCCCATCCGCCCTGCCCAAACACCTGCTCCAGCTGCTCGAAGGTGTAGCTGCTTTTCCTCTTCCCCACGCCATGCTCCTTCACGCGGCTGTAACACCTGCGAAGGGTCTAAGACAGAAAACCCGCACGTTAATCAGCCGGAGGCGACACTGCGCGACAGCACACATTCACTCCCAGTTACACGGCTGCTAGAGCTTACGTTTGCTTTTTTTTTTTTTTTTTTTAAATTAAACTTATGCTGCTCGGTCTTTGCCACACGCTCACGAGCTATAACACAAAATGCAAGACTGCCAAATTAATCTACACCCAGCGGGAAGCATCGTACGGTCCCAACGGTCCCGATGTTTTAGCTTTAACATCTACAGCACAGGACAGAGTTGCGTAGCGGCTACAGGTTCATCTGATTTAACTTGGCTAGTTTGTCCTCTTCCCCACTTCAAAAATCCCCAAATCTGCTCTATAATATTGGGGGGGGGGGGGAACACCCAACAGATCCCCAGTCAGAGACACCAACCAGCCAAGAAAACGCACACCTACTGCAAGAAGGAGAGAGCAGAGGTGGTGTGGTGCCCCCAGCTTGGGGAAGGGGAAGCAGGGAAGAGAGAGGAGGGAAGGAAGAAAGAAAAGAGTCCCTGAAAGCAAAGACAGTCCAACCTTCCTTACTCTGGTAAGAAGGCACAAGGTACAAAACGTAGGCCTAAGCTATTCAGCTAGTAAAATATATATTACTTACATATTTTGCATTCCTTACTAACTCACTCTGTCTCTTGTGGAGCTGCTGAAATTTAAAAGAGGGCAAATCAATAATGCTCCAAATTCCCAACCTTCGATATCAATCATCAAGTACGAAACAATACCGACATGGCTCCGTCTAATAATCCATTAAAATGGACTTCAGCGCAGAGGCCGGAGCCTCCAATAAAGACAGATGCAAAAACCTGGTGTAGTTTTGGTGACTTTTTTTTTTTTCCCAAACATCCCAAGTTGGCAGTTGGGCATAACGCTCGCTACCTGACAGCGAGGCAAAGTCGTATAAGCCTACGATTTCCGCCTACGTTTCCCCCCTAATCCAGAGCAACGGCCAGCTGTCTGGTGGGAGGGGGGGGAAAAAGGTCTTTGGGCACATCCCTTAATGTGTTTTTAATTCTACCACCAGTCTTCTTTTCCAAGCTAATATTGGGCTCCAGGTTTATTACATCCTGACAGTTTGCAGATTGGTTTACGAGAAAACATAACCTTTTTCGTATGAAGTTTATTAGACCGTCTGGGTTCTAGCTTTAACAGCAATCAAAGGCACCTCTGGAGTTCAAGAGAGGCATTGATGTGGGAAGAGCTAGTCCTGGCCCATTGCTTTCTGCAGGAGGACTACAGCTCTTCAAGGATTTATCAGGTACTTATCATGCCAAAAGAGAAAAAAAAAAGGTATGTTTTTCCCCAAGGAATCTTACGTCTCCAGAAAGCTCCAACGTACCTACTGCTCCTTATACACTGCATCAGCGGGAAAGGAATACATTTCTAACCAGTTTTCCGCGTGATATTCAGAGCCCTGGGGGCAGAAGCAACACTGCTAAGCAGCAAGTCAGTTTTACCCTGCTGTTTCAGGAAAAAAAAAAAAAACAAAAACAAACACACAAATAGCAACAAGCACAAGAATTATTCGGTGGTTTAAGAGGAGAACAGGAAAGCTTTCAGCTCACCCACTGTTGGGAGGCTTCAGAGAGGAGAATCTCTCTTTCGCAAGGGCAGAAAAGGGGTTTCAGAGAGCTGGGGTTAAAGTCATGGGGTCACGAGAGGCAGAGCCCAAGCGACATCCAGGCACGATGTTCTAGCAGTGCCTTTGGGAAAGGCATTTGGGCTTTCCGACAGGTCAGCTGGGCTACTAATCCCTCTGGATTTTGTCTCGTGTACCTCTCCGGATAAATGGCTAGAGTCCTCTTTGAGCAGGCAGCAGTGAATTTGAAGTTTCTACTGTCTCTGCTGCCAGCGGGGTGGAAAGCAACTGAGCACATGAACATGAAACAAAGGACCTGGCCACCGAAACCACTGATAATTCACCGGAGAGATGTTCAGCTCCCCAGGGCCGGAGGTACAGATACGTTTGGCTGTTAGAAGTAGACAACACAAAGCCCTTGGGAACGCAGAGGCAGTTTTAGCTGTCACGTTTCAGAGCAGAAGCGTGCTAGGCAATCGATACCCAAGTGCTCTTACTCTATTTTCTCGCCTTTAGGTTAAAATTTCACAGGGCGATATAGGCAAACTCTCGTATCATTCCCAGGCTCTCTTTTAAAAAGCCACCTGAGCCAGATTTTGAAACAAGCTTCCCAAGCCCCACATTTTTGCAGCCACCCCGGCTTATCCAGTCGAGTTAACTGCGTATTTAGAGCCTCTAACCGACCTTATTAGCAGTCGAGCTAAACAAACCGTCTCTAGCACAGTTGACCAAAAACTTCAATATTCTTGGACAAACCCTCTTGGGAACGCTCAGCATCTGCAGTCACAGGCTCTATTTTTAAGCGTGCCTTTCAAGCAGCTCTCCCTAGCAATAAAGTTATCAAATATGCCATGCTGGGCTGCAGTCTAGTCTAGTTAGCTATTCCACTCACGCTAAGAACTGGCTTATTTTGTCATGAAAATAAGTTAATCCAACACTAGTACCTGTACTAGTGATCCAATACTAGGCTTGTACTAGTCTCAGCAAAGACTAGTACAAAAATTAAAAGGAGCAATGCAAAGGGTGGGAAGATAAGAGGTCAATGCTTTTGGTGGGTAGCCCAAGAGAATACGCAAGGCTACTGCCTAGCATGATCCATTTTTACCTCCTTTTTGACGATAGATAAGCTAAAATTTTGAGCGTTCAGCTTTCAAAAGCCCCGACGAGGAGGCTGATGGCCAAGCAGCTGGCGGCTCCTCAGCCCAGCTTCCTGGAGCACTGAGATTCCTGCTCAACTTTTCCTTCTCCAAGGCATTCTCCGGTTTCTCCGGGAGGAAGCGTTCGAGGCTGTCCCTGCCACACGTTCGCTTTTCTAAGCGACGATCGCCTCCTGCTAAGACAACTCTGTCCTGTGGATGCCCCAAGGCTTCAGCACATCAGCGGCAAAGCGGACCAGAAAGATGGTTTTGTCTCTGCAGCTGCCTGCAGCGATTTTCATCATCGAGTCTGTGATGAGACCTAAACAATTGCTCGGACTTCAGGAAAAATCTCCTAGACATTTTATAGCACCAAACAGTTCAGGTGTCTTTCTGAGAGCTGGATACTTTGTTCACTAAGATTTAAGAATGAGTTTTTCCTTGCGCACCTCTTCTACTCTTCCTGGAGTCCAGCTCAAGTCCTGCTCCAGGGCTTTTAAAGTGGATATCCATACTTTGATGCAGATAGAGACAGGAAACAAGTACATTTAAGAGCGGTCTGTTTTCAGATACTTGATAACTGCTCAGTCCTTGCGCAGACTGGAAAAGACCACGGCTTTTGTTTATCGTTCTGCAACACTGGCTGCTCTATATGAAAACAGATTATCCTCGCTTAATTTATAATTTAAACACTCCACTGAAAGCCCAAAGGAGGAGATGGTTAAAGAGCTCAGCATGGAGATTTGCCACCTTTGGATTTTGCCACCGTTCCTACCTCACGAGCCCTGGGAGAAGCAAAGCCATACAAGAACCGATTGCCCTGCAGGAACAGCAGCACAGGGATTAGAAACTCTGGTTGGAAAAGAAGTTTTTATTTTTATATATATATAAAAGGTTTTGAAAAAGGCTGCAGATGCAGCCCTCCTTTGGGCAAAAAGTACGATGAGGTAGATCCACACCACGGCAAGCTTTTTAGGTATAACCTCGGAGATGGTCCAACACAAGAAACTCCAGATCTCTGATCCAAGACATACTCTGCTCGGCTAGATGCTCAGGACTCCAGAGTCATTACCTGGCCGACATGAGCGTTCACATTAAATGGTCACATTGAGCTATTAAAGTCTGTTAAATGATAGCTGCTGGCTCAGAACAGGTCCCAACTGCACAGAGTGCCACTTAGCAGCGTTCAACTCCAAAGATGCACTTTCACTTAACAGAAGAGAGGGCTCCTTGGCTTTATGCACCAAATTAAGAAGGGCAGTATCAAATAGCTTCCTTTCTCCTTGTGCCAAGATACTGGCAAGCAGCAAGAGATGAAGCTGTGCTGAGACAAGAGAAAGGGCTTTTGAAGTCTGGAGCGGCTGTACAGCAAGTAGGGACAAACGGCATGGTGACAGCTCTTGAAATCCTCGTTCCCGCGCTGTCTGGCGCGCACAGAAATGGAATTGAATGCAGTCATCTGATACCTCTGTTCAACTTGCTAGTTTGTGAACCAACCTTTAGGTTAAAACACGCGTGAAAGGCAGGAGAAACATCAGACCCAAATGGGAAATCACCAGGACGAGCCTTGTTTCCATGGTTTATGAATCAGTTTCTCTCCAGAATAAAAGAAAAAGCACCTTAGACCCTCAAGAGAACCATATTCCTTTGCAAAAAAGATAGGCGATGACTTAAATTTGTCTCAAACAGGGCACGAGACACGAATCCCGAACTGAAGTCGTAACACTATGCCACAAAACACACGAGCAGCCTCGTGCAAACCCACCCTGAAAACTTTGCAGATGCATGCTGTAGAAGCTGCTGACGAGGCTGTGGCCGAACATCTGCCAGATCACAGCACTCGGGGATACCCCGGCCATCAAAATGACTCATCCTTTGCACCGAAGAACGGAGCCTCGATCGTATCCTGATGTGCCAGGACGCATGGGCGCTTCCTGAAGGATTTGGCTCCTGGCCCAAAGGTCTCCAGCATAAAACACGGAAAGCGATGCAAAGGTCTCGAGGGGAGAAGGGTGATGAGGGGGGAGATAGGTAAGCTGACGACCTGATCGAGATAGGAACCGGGTATCTCTTTGGACAATGACACTTGAAGAAGGCAAAGTCACCCTATAAGACACAGACAAGGGATGTCAGTCAACACAGGTAAGCCTCAGAGTTTTTAGTCACGTTAATTAAGTGGAGCTAGAACCGACCAAAAAACCACCGTGGATTTTTCACTGTTGCCAGTTTCTAAATCACTATTAAATATATATAAAAAAAAGTTCTTGTCTGAACAGCGATTATTTACAGAAGTGCTACAGCCAATTGCACAGGTCAAACCAGATGATTGTAAAGGTGCCTCTACACCCTCATGCTAAGGATGCCCGGCTCCCGTTGAAGCTCAGTTCAGCTCTCTGAACTGCCCCAGCAGATATCAAGTCTTCCGCTTTTCCTTTGCCGGCCTGGCAGAGTCCGGATACAGGCCGGACCCCACGAGCTCTGAGCTCCAAGCCTTATTGCGTTAGCAGGGATTCACATCACAGATTAACCCAAGACCGGCAGGACTTTGCCAGGGAACAACGGGGAAAGAAGTCAGTCTCAAACGAGCTGTGGCCTCGCTGGGCGAGGGAGTTATGCAGCAATATGCGGCACTGGGAGATGGTGTCTCAAAATAGCCCCCGAGAAGATACGCCGTTACCTGCTGCTATTAGAGAGTCGAGAGGATAAAATCATTCGTACCCTTCTCATGGATTTGATGCTAACTGGGCTAGTCATCTCGAGAGGAGAAATGAGCTTTCTCCAGCATCGCCTGCAGACATGCAGATGGCTGGGCACCTCGGGTCCCCCTGCGTACGAAGCTCTCGGGTCTAACACCGGAGGAAAAGAACAGAAACTCGTTAGAGCTCATTGCCTTGAGAAGGCCGATCAGTGAAACCCTCCACCTTGCCCGCACCCCCAACAGCCAAGGGCTTCGGGCTCCATAATGCGTTTAGATGGG